GGTTTGAACCGGTTTCTGTTGCTGATTGAGGGGGGGTTCATTGGGTGCAAATGAGCTGTATAGATTGTATCTAAGCAAAATCACTGAATGTGTAAAGGAAAAACCAGATGCGTTTTATTTTAGGCCACAACGTAATGGTTAAAATTAAAAATTAAAAGTTAAAATTTGAAGGACTAAAAAGTAATAGTTGAACTTTGAAGAATTAAATAAATCAAATTTTCTTGTACATTTTAAGTCACAGTAATTATTATGCTAATTTCTTRCAGTTCAAGCTAGGTGTTGTGTACTGTTTTGTAACAACCACTAGTGGTGGTATACTGTTTTGGTAACAACCACTAGTGGTTGTAGCTAATTTGCATTTTCATTGTGTTGATTCATTCACCCCTAGCTTTCCCTGCCAACTCTTCAAGCCCTCCCCGTGCTTGAAGTTTGTATGGAGTTTATAAGGTGCCCGGGAGAATTGGTTTCATAAATTTGATTGGTCAAAACCCTAATTAATTATGCATGAATTTTATAATGTATACTTGATCCATTTAGCTCAATTACAAAAATGACTTACTAATAATAAACTCACACAAGTTGGGTGTTGTTGATTTCAATGAAATCACAGATTAGTTGATGACATTCACCATTCGGCATTCACCTTAATATCGGCACAGGGGGCAGAGGGGGGTCCACTTATCTTTCGCTGTGCTGTGCCGGGCTTTAACTTACAGTACTTACAGTGGATGATAACTTGAAAAATACGCATAGCGCGCGATATCTGACAGGCTCAAGTTTACTCATATTATGTACAGCGCTAAATAATACAAAACACGATGGCGGAGCGGTAAGACCTTTTCATAAAAACAATGAAAGATAAGTGGCCTACCTCTGCAACCTGTGTACCGGTGGGATGCTTCAGTCGGCTGAGGATTGTTTTGGGGGCGACCCCGACATCTGGCATTRTGTTTATTTAATTTATTCATTTTTTTCAATGACAGTTTTAGAACTACTTTATTTATTTTTGTAGTTTTTTTATTATTCTATATATTTGAGATAAATCGATGAATCGACAAAAGAGGCTTTTGTACATTGTCATACGACCAACTTACTTCAAGGCAATTTTGAAATGGACTTTTTTCAACTTGTCTAATCGAAATTTATATCAGAATAAAGCTTTTAAAAAAAACTATATTTTTACATTTCGAATGGTCACTCTTTTCATTAATTTTGCCCAATTCCTGACCTCTCAAAATTAAAGTTGTGAGCGTGACAATTTGTTCAATGCAAAAGAGCGTAACTCTAGCATTATGCATTATTTTAGGCACATACGCTGTTTAAGCGCCTATTTTTTATTCATGGCGGTATGTTTTGATTCGTGTTATCACTGRAATTTACAATTCTACCTACGCTCGAGCTGCATGCCACTTTTCTTTTAAAGAAACTCTTAAAGCTAGATAAATTGTACAAGAACGGGTTAAGAGCAGCATTTACATTCATCAACAGTACAGCTACAAAAAACTTGCTTGCGACATTTCTCTGAAGTTCAGTGGAAAACGCAAAATGTAAATAAACAGCATAACTAGGCACCCAACACAACAGAAAGGYGACAACTACAGCAAGAACACACMAAGTGACYCTCTTTTTCTTCTTTCTCTCRGTGATCTCTCGTTCTCCTGTAGGCTCGACTGTTTGCTTGCACCAGAGGGAAATGCAAATCCTTGCCAAAGAAAAAAACATTAATAAAGCTGCGAGACATATTCCTGCGGCTACAAATATGGCATACAACTTGCTCGTAAACAGCAATCGTTTGCAAACTCCTTTGTTGGAAGCATCGAGCTTTGCCCAGATTACAGTCGGTAAAGATGCCAARAAAGAGTAGATCCAGGATATCMAAATCAAATTTCTGATATTTCGTAGAGAAAATCGTTGACGGAAGGAGTGAGGGCGGCAAACAGCAAAGTATCGTTCAACAGATAACGTCAAGATTGTGAACAAACAAACTTTGCACGCCATCCAAGCGATGTTACTTGCTAACAGTAGTTTACAAAGCCAGTCACCAAGAACTCCATCTGGCACGGAATGACGGAAGAAAGGCAGGAATATGAATTCAGGAGCAAGAAAAACACCAAATAAAAGATCTGCTACAGCTAAGTTTAACATCAGATAGTTTGTGGATGTTCTCATTSCTCGTTCATTCCTGATGATGTACATAACTAGGGAATTTCCTACAATATTCAAGACAATAACAACAGAAAACAGGACAGAAAAAACGATATTTTGCAATTGATACATGTCGCATCGAAAAAACTGTTTCCCAGAAAAATTGAGTTCATGAATCTTAATTTCGAACTAGAAGTTAAGCTTCGCATTGAAAGAAATGAATTAGCAGCAACTGAAACGATGTCAACTTATTTGAACGAATAATCAAATTAGAATCGGGACAAAAAACTCACAAAATGTTACATTTCAGGTTTAAGATGATTGGATGAAGAAATGTAATCCAAATTAAGTACGAATAACTTAATTCATTCAAGTAATTACATGTATAAATGCATGAGCAACATAACCAGTTACATAATAATTTTTGCATAAATCATTTGCATGCATCTGGTCGATTTGAGCGATATTCATAGACAACTGCAAGAGACTGAGAAATGATAAGAAATAGTATTGAACGCATTAGCATGCAGATCTGGGGACTAGAAATGTTTTTTCCAATTCTTAAAAAAACTTGAAGTTATAAATACTTTATTGAATATTTCTCAATCTTGTTAAACTCCACCGACTAGGTATAGGTCGATAGCTCAGAAATATTAGATGTAACTTTTAAGATAAAGTAACAGATGGCCTTGACTAATCATGACTAACGCGCGAGAGGAAATTGAAGATGACACTAAGAAAAAATAATATTAAGAACTTTCATTAATAAAGAATCATTTACGACACCTGGATGGGGTGCTCACCATTTAATCAGCTCCTCCAGTTGGAAATTTGTCTGTTAATGGTAAGAAATTAAGSACTGGGAATATTTGAACTGTCACTTTTTACAGTCACATACTGTACTACTCCCATGGACTTTTCCTGTTTTGGTTTCTTCTTTAAAGATGTCTCGGTTGCCTTGTCATGCAATACACTTACAAAGACTCTTTTCCACAGCAAACAACCTTTTTGACCAAACCCTTGAATCTAGAACTTTGAAAGCTAAACAGATACGGGTCTAGAGCAGCATTAACAAACGCAAGCAATGTTGTTGCAATGTCAACAGCTTCAAAAGGCGTGTTTGACAAACCATAAATGATATAGTACGCGGCTACGGGAATCCAACACACTACAAAAGTGACAACTACAGCAAGAACACACMAWGTGACTTTCTTTTTCTTCTTTCTCTCGGAGATCTCTCGCTCTCCTGTAGGTTCGACTGTCTGCTTGCACCAGAGGGACATRCAAATTTTTATGACGAAAAATATCATCAGAGCCAAGGAACATATTATTTCTAGCAAAACCCACACCGAGTGTATTTTCCTAGTAGTAACGTTAACGACGCAGTATAAATATTCTCTGTTCCAGTGAATATGAAAAAGGAAGGGTGACATTACAACAACAGCATATATCCAGGACACCATAACGAGCACTTTGACGATCTTCGGCGAGAAACGCTGACGGAAGGTGTGAGGACGACAAACAGCAAAGTATCGTTCAACTGATAAACAGATCATGGTGGAAATAGAAGCTCTGCACGCCATCCAAGCGATGTTACCTCCCAAGAGTATTTTGCACAGCCAGTCACCAAGAACTCCATCTGGCACCGAATGACGGAAGAAAGGCAGGAATATGAATTCAGGAGCAAGAAAAACGCCAAATAAAAGATCTGCTACAGCYAAGTTTAACAGCAGATAGTTTGTGGATGTTTTTATTCCTCGTTCATTGGTGATGATGTAAATAACAAGGGAGTTTCCTGCAATATTCAAGACAAGAACAACAGAAAACAGGAGAGAAAAAATGATATCTTGCAATTGATACATGTCGCACCGAAAAAACTGTTTCCTAGAATAAATGAACCATGAAAGCGTCCTAAAAATGAATCTTAATTTTAGTCTGGAAGTCAAGTTTTGCATTAAAAGAAAGTAAATTAGCTGCAATTGAAACGATGCCAAGGTATTTTAACGAATTAAATTAAAATCGACAAAACAATCGGTGTCACAAAATGCTACAGTTCAGATTTAAGATGATTGGATAAAAAAATATTCTAATTTAAATACAAATAACTTAATTCATTCAAGTAATTACATGTATGAATACAACCAGCTACTTTATGAATATTACATAAATCATTATACATCTGACCGATTCGGGTGGTGATGTTCATAGACCACTGGAAGAGATTGAGAAATGAAGATACAGTGATAAGAAATAGGAAAGTATTACCATGCAGATCTGGGAACTAGTAACTATTTCTTGAAAAAAGGTTATAAAGTTATAAAGTTTAAAGTTATAAATATGGTTCAGAAATTCTCAGCTTTGTYAAACTCTTGATGTACTTAATGACGTTTCGCATCCTTTCTACGCATGAAGCTCTCATCGTGATGATCGACGTCATTCCAATGTTTTGAAAAGCAAAATCTCATAAAAACTTTTTGAATCTTTTAGAGTTCTAAAATAAAGTCGGGGACCCCCTTTTATAATTCGTGTTTTGAAAGTACTTGGTAATACCGAACTTTAGAGGAAAAAATTAGAAAAATCTGAAGAGGGGATCAAATTGAAATTACATACAGTCAATGTCATTAACGTTGTCCACCGAAAAA